AATGGGGGTAACAGAGGACAAGGAACACAAGATAAGAGGGGGCTAAGTCCGCTGCAACCAACTCAAGGAAGCCTCTGTTCATGCCACTCGTGCTAGAGAGCCTGTGGCAAGTTTATTCGTCTCTAGAGAAAGTTGGCAATGAGTTGGGGAAGATGTTAAGCAGATCAACGTCATGTCTAAGAAGTGGAAGTAGGATGGCTCTCCAGGCCATGATGAGCCAGTGGCTGTGATGAACTAGAGAAAGAAGACATGCAATATCCCCATAACTCTCTTTTGCATATATGAAAGAAACAAAGTTACATATATGAGCTGCTGGCCAACTGCCTACCAATTAACTGTCTCTCATGAAGAAATGACTCTGAAACTCGGTTTTTGCCTTTTATTTTGGATTTAGCCTTGAACTTAATTTTGAACTCAGTATTAGACTCTTTGAGTTGGTCTTGGATTTAAACTCTACACTTTTATATGTTACAACACTTGCTATGTATTAATTCTTGTTGTGTCTTTTTTTTTAAGATTTATTTATCGATCACTTCATTTTTATTTTTTGAATACTTTTTTAAGAGTTCCATCCAAGCATAGAAGTGCTCACTCAAAAGCTCTATTACATGCCTAACACCTAGATATGCTTCTTGAACAAAGCTGGCTTTTTATGAAGATATCAACAATGTGGTCCATTGTGGGACAGTGCACAAGCTTGATAACTTGCTGATTATGCCCTTAATGGTGTGGTTAGCACTGTAGCTCCAAGATTGTCACAATAGACAATTGTCAGTTCCATCGAAAAGCTGATGTAACCATGTGCACACCTAGTCTACATGGTTAGTTGTAACATATTCAGCCTCTGTTGATGAAAGAGCAATGATTGTCTGCCGTTTGCTACACCAAGTGACCACATCATTTATAACTTAAGGGACTATGCTGTAGTGAAGAGTAAATGTTTTAAGTCCCTTGAGGTAGCGAGACATTTGATGGCAAGGCAATGGATGTAGCCATGATTCTCTAGAAACTGAGAGACTTAACCAACTGCAAACACCAAATCTGGGCCATATACATACCAAGATACAGAAGACTTCCCACCATCTGGCAATAAGAAATGCGATGCATCTGCTGTTGTTCTTCAGGTGTCTGAGGTGTTTGTGTCTTGCTGAGATGGAGCACAACTTCCATAAGGGTAGCAGCCTTGTTCAGCTCGGGATCTCCTCCCCTTTGTATACTTCTGCTGGGAGAGCTGAATTGAACTGTGCTACCTATCTTGCCAGATCTTGATGCCTAAGCAAAAACGAGCAGGGCCAAGATCCACCATCTTGAAGCATGCTTGGAGCTCACACTTAACATTTTTTTGTGGGACCAAAGAGAACACAGTCCTCCACATATAGAGCAAGATAAATGCAAATCAATTCTGACTTGCATAAATAGACATATATGTCTGCTAAGGTGTTGAGAAAGCCGATAGAAAGGAGGTAGCTATTCGTCTTGACATACCACTGCCTCAGAGACTGCTTTAATCCATATAAAGCCTTCTTAAGCTTGCACACCTTGTGCTCCTTGCTTGGGATAACGTATCCTTCTGGCTGACGAACATAAGCTTCCTCATCCAGATCTCCATAGAGACACATTGTAGTGACATTAAGCTGCTCCATTTCTAAATTTCACTGGGTGGATGGAGGCTATCTTCAAGACTAAAGAGAACATTTCGTTGTTCCAGTCCTTTTATCTAAGAATTTTATTACTAATTTGGCCTTATACTTCACAACATGCCCGATTTGATGCAAAAAATTCACATTGTCTTGATTGACTTGCCCAAGGGTAAGTCAACAAGCTCCCAAGTGTCATTCTCTATCAGGGATGAGTACTTTGAATTTGCAGCTGCCTTTCACTGCTCTCGCTCTGGACTGGAGAGCTTTATGTAAATTCTTGGGGACTAGAATATCTCACTCTTGTGAGAAGAGTAGTTGAAAAACTGTGGAAGGAAGCTTAAGGATGGCTTTCTTCAATGTTGGAAGAGTAGAAGCATAGTAGAAAGTGCTGGAGCTGCCGGGATCACGCTCCCTAGCTTGAGCCTGCTACTTAGAGGCTCACTGAGCGGCCTGAAGGTCAAGCCATTTTTGAAACTGGGCACTGACGAGCTTGCCGGCAAGGGTGAGAAGAGCGCCCTCGGCCAGAACAAAGATGGTCTCGGTAGCCCACTCCTGTGTCAGCTCCTTCCCATCGTCATTGTCATTTGCAAAAACAGGCCGACCTCAGAGTTTCTCGAAGCCAGGAGGTAAGTCGTCATCCTCGTACACCCTCACTTCATGCATAAAGTTTTGTTAGTACTTGCAACCTTTCTCTTGTTCTTAAACCTCTGGTCCCCGGCAATAATCCTGTCCATCTCCGGGCTCGTATGACGAAACCCGCACACCACAAGTCGCCCATCGTCCAGAGCATGTTTTCGGTCCACCAGTTACCAGGCCAAAGAAAGGCTTGCCCCTCCAGCAATCACGCAGTCCCCCGAGCCGCTGCTCGTCCATATCGTAGTGCGGAGAGGACAAGTGCAAGTGACAAACACCAGAGTTCATGAAATCTACGTACTGAGATGAAGAGCAAACCTGTCAACGACATGTCCACTGCGAAGAAGGAAGACGAGCAAGGAGTGAACATTTGATTGATGGACGAGCAACGAAGGCTACATACCTGGAAGCCGCGTGTTCATATGCATGCTCTCGCTAGAGAGTGTGGGCAGTGCACCATAAGCAGGACCTTTGATACCTGCAACACAACTTTAGTATAAGAAGCCGTGAACGAGTTGCTTACCGGAAGCACGCACACTTCACATGTATCACTGAATACATATGAATAGAAGCCTTCGATCAATCCCTGACCTGTAAAAGCGGTTGTTATCATCAGAGCTCTGATCTAGCGGCCTTCGGCCGCTGGCGCCACGGATGGTCGCTGTAGTTCCAGAAAAGGTAAAGCAAGACGAAAGGAAAAAAAGTTCGCCTCACTCGTTCACTGCGTCCTTGCGGCGGATGAGCGCTCTAACACAATGCCGCCGCCACTCCCCAGGGCGAGACAAGCGAACACAGGCTCGGACAGGCAGCGTTTTCGCAGCTTCTCGTACTTTTCTTGAGAGAGACCAGTGAAATCCGAATATCGAACACGTCCATGCCACCGAGCTCTTATGTCAAAGCCTGTTGATCTGTCCCAGCCTTGACGGCCTGGCAGTGTATAGCCATACCTTTCTCCAGGCTCTTCACCTTGAGCTTCTCTTGAGGCCAAGATGGAGCAAGTCCAGAGAGAGCGCTAGGACGAAAGTCCGAGAGTCCGGCGACTCCACTCGTGCGAAGAGCAACCTCGGCGCCACCATTGTCGACGCAGCCGGGTATCAACGCGTTCCAGGAGACTAGATCCGGCTTCACATCACCACCGCCACCCGAGCTCTTGATCGTGGGAAGACTTGGCGAGCCCTCCCACACTTGGGAGTATGGCTCAAGTTGTTCACCATGAACAGTCCGAGACGTATCCTCTCCTCACGACCTGCTAGTGTATTTCCCGAACTTTCTCCATCCAAGCAAAAGCTCGTCCTATGCCGAGCTTTCGGTCCTCGGCACTCAAGTTCCCACAGGCCGGGGTACGTAAGTCCACCGCAAGTTCCCACACTCTCCCATCTTGAACAGCGGCTCTAAGCGACCCTTCTCTGTCCATTCCCTCTAAATCCCAGGATCAAAGACGTCCACGAGACTACGTCCGGTTGAGCCGTCTTGCATACTCCCGCACTTGGTGTACATGTCGACAAAGTATTCGCAACAAAGACGTCGCAGCTGAGTTCCTGCTTGAAAGCTTGACAATGGAGACTCATCCCGGCTTCCAGACTGCTCAGATTCACGATGCTTCCACCGATTATCTTTTTGCTCTCTTGAAGCTTATAGAGAACAGGCTAGCAACGCAGCAACGTATCTTCGAGCGTTTGGAGGATCGGGCTCTCTTTTATCAGCTGGAAGACGTCGAGTGCCTGCTCTGGCTTGCCATTCTCGACGTATCCCATTACTGCACTCCGGGGAGTTATCCCATCGAAAACTTGGCGAGGCTCCAGACTTTGCGTACATGTCCTTGGCCAAACAAGTCGGAGCTGACGGGTGAAACCTTGATAAGACTTTCCACTTCTACAAGCTTGGTTTCTTCCTCGTGAACAGCGATTCCAGCAACGAGCTTTTGGTCGAGAGGTAATGAGCCGGTGGTCATCAACTCGACGAGTCTGAGAGCGTCGCAGGCTTGTCCACTCGAAACGTATCCCATGATCAAACCGGTCTGGAGAAATCTTTGTCCTCCATTCTCCACCACAAATCCAGCCTTTTCGACTTGCGACACTCCATGAAAGTCCGCGCGTCCGCCGTAGCTTCTCGAGATGTCTGGATTTGCGAGAAGAGATCGAGAGCAAAGTCTTCTTTGCCATCTAAGACGTAGCCTTGCATCAGTGCATTCCACGAGACCACGTCATGGAAAGCCATGCTATCGAAGGTCAGTGCCTGATTTGAGTTCCCACACTTTGCAAACATGTCCACAGCCACGGCTGCCACGAACAACCAAAAGCAATGCCGGAGACGAATATCTACACTGGTCGCCATCGAACTCTATGAGACAATGCCGTGATCAAGATTTCTATGCACCATTCCACTCTCACGAAACGTTTCTAGCGAAAGACCCAAGCTACTTCGATCGATCAAAATAATTACTGCCGATGAGCCATTTTCTTTTAGCCCTTTGATATACAGCCGTCCGATTTAAAACAATCTGACGGCATACATTCAAAACTGATTTTCGCTGACCTTGACCAAGAAAATGTGATTGAAACTCGGTGTTCCAACATGGTGGCTCACTCGGCTTTCCAAATTAGTGTGTACGCGCAGCATCCAAGTACGACCACAATTTCGACGTATATATATCATTCAAGGCAATGGTTCATCACAAATACAGCGATCCTCGTCTCCAATTAAAGATTTCTCCCCTCTTGATCGACTATGGCTGTGTCCAGATCTCACGCTCTCTCAATTGCTTTGCTCTCATTCTTCGTGTGGACAGTAGTTTCATCCGATCCAGATCCACTCCAGGATTTTTGCATCGGAGATCTCAACGTTGTCCCCGGGATCAATGGATTCCCATGCAGGAACGCCTCCGCAGTCACGGTCGACGACTTCATCTACAGCGGAATCGTCAACTCCTCCAACACCACAAACATCAACCGCTCAGGTGCCATCTTTGGAACTGTGCTGAGATTTCCAGGCCTCAACACTTTGGGTCTCTCCATCGCTAGGCTCGACTTTCTCCCCGAAGGAATCATCCCTCCACACACCCATCCCAGAGCCTCGGAGATGGTCTACGTAGAAGAAGGGACCATTTACGCCGCCATCGTCACAGCGGATAATCGTCTGTTTGCTCGAGTGATGAACAGGGGAGAAGTCATGGTGATTCCTCGCGGATTGATCCACTGGCAGATGAACGTAGGACGTACCAATGCCAAGATCATCGCCACTCTCAACTCCCAGCTTCCCGGAATCCAGTTCATTGCCAGATCCATGTTTGGATCCCGACCAGAGGTCCCGGACGAGGTCCTCGAGAAGACGTTCTTCTTGGGCGAGCGTAGCATCAACCAAGTCCGATCCAACTTTGATTGAGATTGTTCCGTTTATAAAATTCTTTTCTCCTTAGTTGTGGATTCGTTGCAAGCTTGTCGCTCGCATTCCATGAAGCAAAGATGGAACTCTACCTCAATGCTAGAAAATTGCTCATGGGCTCCTCCGCTCGCATCCGTCTCTCGAACGAGCCGAGCAAAGTCACCAGTAGTTTCCGCAAGAGAACGTGCTCAAGCGATAGAGCCGACTAGCATCTGTCACAGTTATAGATCGTCCCACCTGAGCGCACACACCCACAAGTTCATGATGATCCTCAGCGGCGACCCTTGCTGCGTGCTGATCAATCCAAAAGCCACAGCCATCTTCTCGCTGTGGTAGTGCAGCAACTCCTCCTTTTGCTCCTCGCCAACGTCGTACAAGATCTCATTCGTGTCAGGAACATAGCCAGCGGCCAGCCTCTAGAGTTCCCCGAAGATGTCTTCACTGCGAGGATACGAAAGATCCCCCACCACGAAACTGTGAACTTCGCTGTCAATGTTGCTGATCCCCGGAAGTTTTCTCACTCACCTCGACTTCATGAGGTTCCAGATCATCGAGACCTTGTCCCTCCTCCCGATCGACGAGTACATGTTCGAGAAAACGACGTAGGCAGTCGTGTAGCCAGGCTCCATCTTGAAGATCGCTCGGCACAATCGGCATGTCGGTGGAGGCGCCAAGCTCCCAGCAGCGACATCCAGATCACGCGTTCTGGAAGGAATGGCATCAAGTTGACGAGCTCCTTGGCACTCAGAGTTCTGTGCTCTGATGTGTTCCAACCCCTCGGGCACGAGACGCTCCGGAACGTCACCTCCCCTGGCTTGACGCCCTCAAGATTCATAAGCTGGAAGATTCCATTGCTCAGTTGTAACACCATGGGGAAACCAAGCTGCGTAGTTTCATGCTCTCGAACACGCTCCTGGCGCGGCCGAGATCACCCAAGTTGTAAACTTGCGTGAGAGTTGCGCAGGACACAGATCTTCACGGCCTCGTCAAACTGCCCATTCTCGGCATATGTAAAGAGCATCACGCTCCACGAGACTGGATTCTTAAAGATGTTCTTAGCAAGGACGGAAAAGCCTTGGCAAGCGTAGGCTTGCCCCATCACCGTCCAAGCCACCACGTCTTGATCAGGCAAGGACTCTTAAATCTCTTTAACGGTGGCCAAATACCCGCTCTGGGTATTCACAAAGATCATCGTACAATTCATCCAGATGGAAATGAATGACCATGGCTGTTTATATGGGCCGATATTCTGGGCTAATGGGTGAATTGGCTGGTGCCTGTCGTGGACGATCGCGTGCGTTGCAACCACCTCACCTCCCTTTAGCATGCTCTGGCGCATCTTCTTGACACACCTGCCTCTTGCTACTGGTTTTCATGGAGTTTGCCATTACAGCCACACATCTGGCCACTTGGCGAGAGATTGCAAGAAGAAGAACAAGGGAAATGACAAAGACAAGGATAAATATATCCTATAGCTTCATCTTAGGGATTAACAATTAAAGTTAGTTGTAATCCAATTTATCTGGCTACTTCTTCTCTTCTCTTTTCTTCTTCTTGCCCTGAATGCTCTTGAGCTCGTTTGGATTATCAGTTGCAGCTCCAAGGGCCTTCTTGTAGCCTGCCACCAACTTGTAGCACCAAAGAGATGCCAAGTACAGATTCTCTAGTGAATCTTTCTTACTTTTAACTTCTTATGTTGTACACAGATTCTTTAGTGAATTTTTCTTATAACTTCTCAGCCATAATAAAAATGCCCTTTGGCGTTTTGGCTCTCTCTCATGCACTATTTTGTTCATATCTGGGAACACCACTAGTCTAATTTTTAATGACCCAACTTGCCCACAAAAGTGATGAGCTCTTTCTTGCACTAGGACTTGCTCTTGGTCACTCCAACTCACTAGAGATCTCTCTCAAGACTTCTAATATGCTCAAGATCATTGTGTTTCCATAACCAATCATGAACAACTTTAAGATTTCCTCCCATGACCTCAGAACCCTCTCTAGACACTCTAAAACTTCTTCCAACACACTTAAATTGCTACTACAAGCTTAAAAACACTAATGGACTATAATTGTTCATAAAGTACAAAAACATTTCTCTCAAAGAACACTCTCTGCTTTCTAAATAAGATGGAAACTTGTTCTTAATACCAAAGGGTCATAATTGTTCTTTAGGTGAGGCCTAACTTGACCACCATCACGCCACCCTTGCCTTTTTATCCTCAAGAGTCTACTGTTTATGATGTCCCAATCTTCCAAAATTTTGGATTGTTATCCCAAAAACATTTCACTTCCTTGTCTCACTAGTGATTTTCTTGAACTCGTCCAAGCTCTCTGGATTGCCTCACTCTTGATTCTCCCACTAGAATCACAAAGATTTCTTAATCTCATCATCTAAGATATTATCTGAATCTAAATTTAATTAACCACATTAAAGAGAGAAACGACATATTTAAGAGACAGTACATCAAAGATTTATAGGTGGAGGTGCTAACAGAAGTCTAACACTATAGTTTAATTTGTGTTGAGGAGTTTTGAGTTGAAAATCCAGACTAAGATTTTGCTAGAAATTAAAAATTTAAAAAAACTTATAAAAAGTAGCTAAGTGGACATTTTAAATAATTTCTGCATGGCCATGCTTGGTTTTCTTAATAGTAGTATTTTTTTTATAATTAATCAAATAGAAGTTTATAATTATAAACATATATATTTTATAAACATAAGATTAATATTATTAAATATCTCCTATTATATCATAGAATAAACTAAAATATACTAGAAAGTGTTTAGAAAATTTTATAAATTATAAATATAAAATTAATCTAAATGAATAACAACTGATAGATGGTAGAGTATCCTAAAATATCCAAGCATATTTTAGGTATATCCACTTTCCTTACAGGTTTACTTAAGAAAACAAAAACTATATAGAAATAATATAAATTAATGATATATTCAATACATCAGTAATTTCTTCTTTATCATTTTTCTTGGAGCTATTACCACTTCTATTGTTTACATCATCGGGAAAGTTAAATCTATTATTTGATAAGTCATCTTCGTCTTCTGTATTGCATATATATATAAGTTTAAGAACTAATTCGATAAAAATCAATTAACTAATATTCACTACACTATCAAACATAAATTAGACCAATGATTACATAAATAAAATTCACTTCACAAATTAAACTTAATAAAATATTTTGAGAGAAGTGAAATTTAATTTTAATCTCTAGAGTAATACTCTAAGTTTTTTTTCAAACTATTGATCATCCTTGTTATTGATATACTTTTTTTTATTTCCTTGAAAACCACTAACTTATTTGAATAGTTTTTATAAATAATAACATATCTTACAAACCCATGTGTATAAAAAAAATTACAAAATAGATAATAAATAAATATATACAATAACTTTAGCTATTATTTAAGTTTTTTAATTTCAATTATAAAAACTTTAAAGTTTATAATATCATCTATAAAATGTACTTGTACCCCACTTTTTTATTTTAAAAAACTTTTCACTCTAAACCTTTTAAACTTGTTATCACTTAGGATTAAAAAAATTTGGTTCACTATTTAAAATTTTCATAAATAATTATAACTTCTAAAATTGTTATTACAATCTAAGTTTCAAGTATGATCAACCATGTTTGAACACATTTAATATTTTGAAGATGGGATTTCTTTAGGATCAATATAGTATGTATAATCAAAGTGTATTTGAAAATTATAATCACTATAAAATGTTTAGTTCTATATGTTATTTTGTCATTGCAATCTAAGTTTCAAATATAATCAATCATATTTAAACACATTTAGTATTTTAAAGATGAAATTTCTTTGGATCAATAAAGTGCTTATAACCAAAGTGTATTTGAAAATTATAATCATTATAGAATATAGAAATAATTAATTTTTAATTTAATTATCTTTTAATTCTATATGTTAATCTCAATATGTGGTGTAATTCCTTTGCTAACCAACAAAGTTGAATAGAAGAACTTTTTGATACCAAATATAAGTTTTTGAATTTGAATCCAAAGATGCTTAATCCTAAACATCTCAATAATTATAACCAATTGAAAAAATAAATACACTCTTATTTATATATATTTAAACCCTATGATTACCTCTTGAGTCATTCTTTTTAATTGTTTAAATTATACCAATTTTATCACTTTCCTGTCTTGTTTTTTCATATTTTTCACTAATTTCATATCCTTTTACTAAATTTGACTTGTGTTTTCCTCAAACTTTTATATATTAATTTTGGTGAAAGAAATTGTTTTTTATCACAATCTTTATGTGAAACTGTATACTTATACCAATTGATGGACTTAAGCTAAAAAAACTCCATTACAAAAGTTTAATCAAATTCAATATAAATAAATAGTTGTCTCTTTGTATGATGCGATACCAAAAATATCATGTAAATCATCATGTTAACACGATGTTAAAGGTTATACAAAGTATCACATAAAATATAATAACCTTTATTGCCATGAAGCCATTTGAAGAGGAAATTTAAAAAATGCACTATTAAATTATATATCACCAAAAGGAAAAATTATATCATTTATATGTTAATGATTTACTTCTGCAACTTTGCTATACAAATCTATATTCTATATTTTGTATGGGTTTTCCATGGAAATATTTTGTTAATATCATGTGACTTTTGACTATTTTCTCGTTGGTCTCAAGGCACCCATCTGAAGAGAAAGAAAAATCAAAAGAGTTCGTGAAGAAAAGTATCCAAGGAGCTTACCTGGGAGAGAACTGCCGTCATTCACGATCTGGGGAGCGTACGACTGATGGAGCGAGCCTGCACAGAAAAAATGGCACCGTTTTTATTGGAAGAAAAGAAACTAGAAAGCAAAGCTCGCTCTGAGACTTCTCTATCTCTCAGGGACAAGAAGGTGAAAGACCGATGGGATTGATCGAAAGAGAGGGAAAGAGAGAGAGAAGTTGTGATCCATTCTTCATCTGAAGCG